TCCCTGTGGGTCCAGGAGGGGCTGGGTGTCTTTCTTAGACCATTCTGAGGCCCTCTCAGTTTCAGACTGACATTCTGTGCTTCCACCACTGTACACCGATGCCCCACCCCTCCCCCTGGCTCTGGCAAATCCCTGCAGAACTGGCCTCTCCATTCAGTGTGGCAACCAATCTGCTTCCCATCCCTCTTGGTAACTGATTAACCCACCTGACCATATCACTGACTCATTTCATTGGAGCCCTCATTCATTCAGTCATGGATGGCATGTGGTTATGCTAGGCCCAGTCCAGGGTGTTATACAAGAATAGCTGCGTGTACAGCTCAACATATGCCTGCCCTCTGCTAAGTGCTTTGCCCATACTAACTCATTTATCTTCACATCAGTCCTATTATCCCCATTTCACAAATGAGGAAACTGAGGCCCAGAGTGGGTAAGTAACTTGCTCCAGGGTCACTCAGCTGGGAATAGGCAAAGTTGGGATTCTAACCCAGGGAGTAAGGTCCCAGAACTCCTACTGGGAGCTCCCAGCAGGGGCATCTGACTTGGGAAGATGGTTTCTAGAAGCAGCCGAGACCCAAAGGATGAAGAGTTAGCCAGCGAAGGTGTGATAATGATGTGCCAGCCAAGATGCTGGGAAGGAAACAATTAAAACAAAGAGAATACCCTTGTGCTGGTACTCCACGCAGTGTGAAATCTTATCTTGAACAGAAAAATATTTACTTTCCTTGCTAAGACTTTGTTTGTGTTTGAGTATCTTGTCTATTTGATTGTAGACAAAAGCCTCCCCATTTTCTCTTTCAGTTTTCTCTCCAGTCGTGACAGCTAACTTCAAAGCTTAATTGAGCCATTGGTTTCCGAAAATCTGTTCACATCCCTTAGCCTGTAAATTTCTTGAGTCCGGGGTGCGTTTTTCTTTCTCTCCCACAGTACCTCCACAGTGCCTTAATCTATATTTGTTAAATAAATGAATAAGCAAACTGAGAGAATAGTTTAGCCTCGGAAATGTAGAACGGCTATATCTAAAAATTCCCATTACTTCATCCTTGTTCTTTGAAATGCTGGGGTTATCTTACTCTCATCAAACTCAAAATTATATTTTGTAATGGGCATTTATGTATTTATTTGTTATGAACCTTTTGTCATCCCTCAAATCAAATATATATATTTTTTTCTTTTTCAATCTGATAAGAACTAGAAAAAAGTCTTCAGGAATAAAAAGCCTCCCAGTTCTTATCAAACATTCAGAGGGTGCATTCTGAATTGCGAAGGCTGCTTGTCCCGGGGGAAAATGGTCTGTAAACTCCTGCACTGTGAGCAATGGTTCTCAACTCTGCCTGCATATCAGAATGATCTAGAACATGCCCATGCCTGGGCACCAAAAGATTCTGATTTAATTGGTCTGAGAGGGGGCCCGGGCACCAACTTTTTTTTTAAAGCTCCCCAGGTGATTCTAATGTGCCACCATCATGTGAACCACGGGGCCAGAGCAATATTGCTTTTTACCAGGGAGTGAGTAACATGACAAAGATTGTTTGGAAGGGTGAAAAAGTCCTCAGCCCTAGGAGTGGGGCCAGCATGGAGGCAGAAGACAGCTTTCCCGATGACGCTTTCTTACTCATCCCCAGACTCCTGGCCCCAGCATCCCCCAGCACTGTGGGAAGCCCCAGAGCACTCGGCTCGGAGGGGAGAGGTAGGAAATGCTCATGGATGCACTCTGGCCTCACAGGGCTTCACCCACGGCCTCCCAATCACAGGCGACAAAATGATGTGGTTTTTGTTACATAGCTGCAAGCAAGGGCCTTCATACTCAGTGGTGAAAAAGAAGAAAAAGAAAATGGTACTATTTTCAGCATCAGCAGTGAGGAAGGGATGATCCTCTCCCTCCATTCCAGACAGGAAGAGAAAGTTATCTGGTTCCCAGGGGAGAGCTGGGGGTTGGGGCAGCAGCCACTGTGCTGGAAGGGAAGTGAAAGGAGAGGTGCTGGCCAAGTCAGCCAGGAGCAGCTTCACGCCATTCTGGGGTGTTCTCACCAGGCTGGAGAACACGGTCAAAGGGGGAACCTGGTCCTTCTCATGAGGCCGACCTTCAGCTGGGGATGATCAACAGCAGGGTCTGAGCTTGGCATCTACAAGGATGCCCGCAGAAACCGTATGCACAATTTGAGCGTGTGTCTGTTTAAGGGAAAGGGTTTCTGTTTTTCATCAGCTTTCTAAAGATGCAGGATGACAACTGGCCCTGAGCAACGTCTACTGTCAGCTGAACACCTAATTGTCACCTGCACACCCTGCCCTGTCGGATTTGTCCAACTGAAGGAAGCAGGGCTGGGCCACATCAAACTACAGAAGCAGATGACACTCGTCCTCTGTGCTCAGCCCCAGGGGTGTAGCTTCCCCATGTTCAGATGGCCCGAGCGCAGCTAACTGTCACCAGCTTTGTCCCCACCCAGCTCGGGGCTTTCCCTCCCTGCTTAAGCACAGGGCTCTCCCGGCCTCCCTCCATCTCTGCTCTTCCCTTCTGTCCTTGTGCTCCCAGATGTGAAGCCATTTTTCTCTGTCTCTACCTATGTCCGTCACTCTACCCTTGACCTCCAAAGTTCAGTAACCGTGATGTCAGTCTTGTGAGGCCCTCCCCAGCCTTCTGGCTCCTGGTTACCACACTGACTTGTCACCCTCAGGATTCTTGTCTGAACTTCCAAGGTGATGGGCAAAGGGGCAGTGCCCAGCTCAGCTTTTCCTCCCTGGGAGCAGAGTCCAGGCCTTGTCGATTAGCTAATGCATGTTTCAGAAAGTCCAAGAGGAGGACATATTGTTTTAGAGAAAACCATTAGCACTGACTTTGTTTATTGATGCTACACTATAACAAAAATAAGAGACAACTACCTAAGTAGTTTTAGAGGTAGGAAAAAAAATTCTAATTACTCTCATTTATATAAGCTGCTTATTATGTGTGCCTGATTCCCATGTGGCATCATAATGGTGTGTGGATCATTAAATGGGTCAGTTTCCTTTCGTTTCAAAGCTAAACTCTCTCAGGTATGTCAGTCTTGAATGTTTGCTGATTCTGTGGCAGGGTTGTCTGCTTTCAATTTAGGAAAAAAAAATCATTAGATGAGAATGTTGGCCTAGAAAAGGAAGCCAGGGAGGGGAGAGAAACCTAGTGGGCCAGGGCCCTCTACAACCTTCATGATTGACTGTATGACCTTAGGCAGGTCAATTTACCTCTCTGGGCCTCCTCCTCTCCTCCTCAGGGCAGGGAGCACTGGGTACTGGTTTTCAAATTTTTTCTTTAAGCAGTAGCCCCCTTCCTTATCTTCCAAATGAAACATAGATGGAAGTCCAAAATATAAAGCGGGTGAAAGAAAAGCTGCCAAAGGCTGCCTTTGAGGTGTCTTCACAGAATCCTGGGATTCCTGGTTCATCCTATGATCTATGACATTGTAAGAACGGGGCACGACTGGCAACCACCTCTATGCAACTCTCACAGCTTTGGAGAGAGGGCTCAGAATGACACCCACACGGGGGAAGGTGGCATCCCAGGAGCATTGCAGTGAACCTGGACTTTAACCTCAAGTCCCCTGCAAAAAACAGGTGGAGGGCAACGTTTCATTCTGCACTTCTGCGGATAGTGGTTAAGATCCATACTTGGAGTTGTCTCACAGTCAAAAAACTCAATCCAAGCAATTTTATTTCAAATCTACCTCCGCAGATTGTTGGAGAGGAGTAAATGAATTGACTCAGTTATGTCTCCATTTCAAAAGAGGCAGTTTTGAAACCTGTGGTCCCCCAAGCTCGAAAATACTGAGCCATTTGTCCTAAGGACACAGCAGACTCTGAACTCCAGCATACCGCAGGAATATCACACCACTGCAAATTACTAGGTGGTGCTGAGTCTCTGAAAAAACGGAATTGAAACAAAAGCATTGCCCTGTTTTTGAGACACACATTTGATATGAGCTAATCAAATAGTTTTTGAGATTATTTTCCTGGAGGCAGAATTATTCTGCACAGTTAAACAGCTCTTCAGTTTCCCCCTTTGTTGTATCTATGTATAAACACACGGCCCATATAGTGGACTATTTTCTCTCTCACTGAAGTTTCTGAAGACAAGGCCTTTTTGTCACCGGTAAGCGCAGGGCCAGTCAACCTTACAAAAGGAGTCATTTAATGCTCAATTTCCCCAACTTTCCTATGATTAAAAACTTCTAACCTCAAATGCTGTTATTGTAGTCTAGATTGTTTTCTTTCCCCCTCCCCCCACAAATGTTTAAATTGTCTCTACTCTGCAGGATTCCCTTTCTTTTTTTTCAATCTGACCTTGAAAACAGAGACGTTCCCCTTTTCTTTTACATACCCTAAACTGTTTAAAAATGACCTTTTTACTACACTCTTCTTGTCTGACACACCAAATGCTAATCTGAAAGCCAAGAGGAGGTAGAGGGTCTGGGAGGTTGGGAAGGGGAGGGAGGGAGGTACTATGTATTTGGCATCGGTTCAGAAATTCAGAAAATGTTTGCGCAACCACTCCCCCAGCCAGGATCCACCGCACCCCCTGCCTTCCAGCACATTAATAAAAAAAGATGTGAGCGGATGAAATTGGAGATCCCGGGAGGCACACCTAAGGCGATCACAACCATGTAGTAGGAGAAGCCATCACCATCCCACATGTCCAGCCCTTATCCCTCCCCTCTGATATCCAAAGTTGAGGACCAGGACCTCTCCAGCTCCCACCCCCACCCCCCAGAGGTAGCCGGTTAAACTTGTACCAGCACCGCCCATTAACGGCTTGTGTGAGACAAACGGAAGGACTGACACAACCTCTGCACGTCGGGTGGCAGCGCTGTGCACCGTTAAGAATCATACATGTTCTTTAGGAAAAAAAAAGTACAATGAGCGCACAGGCCTGGAATACATTAACTTGTGGACTGAATCTCACACACCCCAGGAGAGTCCATCTCTCCCTCAAACAAAAAGAAGGGGAAGAAAAGGCGAAGGCACGTTACCATCCTGTCCTGAGCTTTCCAGATATTCGGTCAGGTCACAGCCAAAGGCACTGGCGGCTCCCTTTCGTTTCAGCTTCTGCTTGGCACCCTTGTTCTTCATGAGTTAGTCCCAAAGAGGTTGCCCCTCCGTCTCCCCCTCCCCTCTGCTTGGCACCGCGCCTAAGGCGGTCTCCGGGGTTAGCTCACTGGCTGCGGCGCGGCTCTGGGGGGCCGCATGGGCGTCCAGAAGAACCTGGGCCCGGGGCGGTGCGCATGGACCCCGCGGGGCGCGGAGCCTGAGATCCACGGCGCGCTCCTCCAGGGCCGCGGTGCCGGAGGCCGTGCAGAGCTGGCAGCCGCGGGCCGGCGAGCTTGGGAGTGTCACTTCCTCACTTGGAGTCCCAGGGACTTTCACAGGCTCCTGCGGTGTCTTCGGGTGTTTTCCTCCGCTTCAGAGCGCGGGCGAGCTCTCCTCTCCGCCCTTCTGGATGCCCGGGAGAGGACGAGAGCGCGGAAGCGGGCAGCAGCCGGGGGCGAGGAGACAGCCCAGGGGCTGCCGCGGGTCCTCCTCCCTGCGCCCGCCGCCGTGCCTTCAGACGGCTTTGGTCAAACGAAAAACAAGCATCCTGTCTCTCTCGCCCGCCCTCACGCCTTCCTTTTTTTCCTGTCTTACAAATCCTAGGATCATCCAGCTCAGGAAATGCTGGAAGGAAGTTAGCTAGGGAGGGGGGGCGGAGGGTGGAAATTTTTGGCAGCTCTGAGCCTGTGTGTGTATGGAGCCGGAGGAAGTAGGTGGGTGGGTTGAGGAGCACGGGGTGGGGGAGAGAACGCGCTCTTCGGAGAGCCGCTCTGCGCCTCCAGAGATAACTGGGCAGCCCGGGAGGAAATCGCCGCTCTCCGAGGGGGACCCGCGGCCCGAGCCGCCGCTTCCTGCCCCGCCGACGGCTCTTTGAAGAGGGCGGGAGGCGGCGCGCTGGCTTTCTGGACCGAGGGTGCGAGGTGGAACTGAAAAAAAAGTCCTGCCTCGATTTTATCCTCATTGTCATCCTCTCTTGGACACTTTCTATTTCGGTGCCTGCCTTCTCCTACACAAACACTTGAAGAGTAACGACAGAAACAGAGAGAGGGATTGCAGCGGAGAAACCCGACATGGAGCGGTTTCGCGCCGGCCACTCCCATCCTCCTCTCCCAGGTACCCCGACCCCGCTGACTCCCCTCCACGCTGAGCAAAGGATGGGGGCTGCCGCTTTGTAACCACTGCCCGGGAAATCAGATTTCTGGTTACAGATTCAAGTTCACACACACACACACAAATATGATTGCAAAGTTTGCTAACTGGAAGCGATTTGGGGGGAAATCCAGGATATAAGGTGACTGATATTTTAGCATAATGTGGAGACAACAATCTCCCAGGTTGTTTTATAATTTGTCTCAAGTTTTTGGGAAAGCATGTTTTTTCTTCTCCAGTTAGATTTGAAATTCCTTGACTTCTGTGTACTCAGCACACAGTAAGCACTCAAATTCTTCTGATTTAACCATTTGAAGATTAGATTAAACTTCCTGTATAAATTCAAATCCATATATAGGCTTGAAGGGTAGGGACATTCATTCAGCTCAGATTGCTGGCAAAAGCTTTGTGTGCAGTATTTTAGTTGCCAAATCCCTTTACATTCATTATATTTCCTATGTATCACTGTGACAGTTTATGAACTTTGACCCCTGACCTTCTCTCTTTGTCAGAGGTCACAGATAGCCTGCCTGCCAAATCTGGCCCACAGATGCATTTGGTTTGGCACACACCACGCTTTAAATTTTTTTAAAATTAATTGCCAACGTTAATGAGTTAAAAGATTTCACGTCAGAGATCTGGATTTCTGGCTTCTCTTGTAAAAATGGAAGATCTGATAACACCGAAAGTGCATTCCCACATGGCAAGGTCTGCTGGTGCCAAATTGTGACAGCCCCCTTGGAGGTGCCCACTTTAGAGAGATGAGTCTTCCAGTGTGAAGCCCCCACTGCCTGTCTTCCCCCTTGGCTCCTGCCTGGCCTCTGGGGCCACTTGAATTCTCAGCCCATGCTCTGTGTATGGTGTCTCCTTCCTTGCATTTTCCCGTCTGTCTCTCAGTGACACCAGCATTGCCCCAGTCATCTTGGCGAGACATCTTCAAGTAACCACTGACTCATTTCACTCCTTCCGCCCCCACCTCCAGGCTGGTCCTGCCCAGACCGATGAATCCTTCAGAATGCCTCTCCTCTGGATTTCTTCCTTTCCAGGCCCATTCAGTGAGGATTTTCACTCCTCGGTTATCAGAATAACTCTTAGTGGGGTTTGCTGAGTCCGATCTCTTTCCACTTCACCCATCCTGTGTACTAATGGCCTGATGAATCTTCTGGAAGTATTGCTGTTGTTATATGCCTGCTTTGCTCAATTACTCCCTGTTTCCTACTGTCAGGACAGCAATTTCCAAGCATTTTGTAAGCTTCTTGGAGAACCTTCAGAAGGTATTTAGTATAATGGCTTATTCCTCCCTTATTTATAGAGAAGCATCTCCACATGAGACTGTAATTATTACTGTTAACATTTGTTTAGGTGTTTTCTTTAGCAAGGGCTTTCATATTCCTTATCTCATCTGAGCTACAGGGGATTTCATCACTCTGGCAGCAAAGGAGAAAGGCTGAAGGGGTGTTTTTCTCCTGGGTCTAGGTCCCCAGGGCACAAATTATGGATAAATTGTCAAGCCCTGTGAACTACCTTTTTAAATCTTTAAAGACATGCTTTTTTTTTTTTCTTTTTTTTTTTGTGAGGAGATCAGCCCTGTGCTAACATCTGCCAATCCTCCTCTTTTTTTTCTGAGGAAGACTGGCCCTGGGCTAACATCTGTGCCCATCTTCCTCCACTTTATATGGGACGCCGCCACAGCATGGCCTGCCAAGCTGTGCGTCGGTGCGTGCCCGGGATCCAAACCGGCGAACCCCAGGCCGCTGCAGCGGAGCGCGCGCACTTAACCGCTTGCGCCACCAGGCCAGCCCCTAAAGACATGCTTTGAAGTTTTCATTTTGAAGTAATTTCAGTTTATAAAAAATTTGCAAAAGTCAAAGAATTCCCATATACCTTTCACCCAGCATTCCCAAATATTAATATCTTATACAACCAGAATACAATTATTACACTTGGGAAATTTATATTGATACAATAATATTAACTAATTAACAGATCTTATGCCTATATGAATTAATTTTTAATTACATAAAATTTTTATTAAATGTGGTCTGTCTCAGAATGAATTCCACCAGTTAAACATGGAAACAGTAATTTACAAGTAATTATCAAAACACTTAACAATATAATATTAGCTATGTACCAGATTCTCCTAAACACCACCAAACCCAGCAGGAGTAGGTTGTCACAAAACAGGGCTGCCTAGATGAACCAGTAAAGCTAGTGACCTTGACACAGTCCTAAGATTCTTATATACTTTACTGAGGGTTTCCCAAAGGGACTCCACAATTGTAGAATTTTCAACCTGGAACAGCCTGAGGCCTTTTGGTTGCTGCTTCATGAGAAGTTGGGTTCCAGTTGTTTAGGGTTCAGGGGAGAGGTAGGACTCAGCACCTGGCAGGGCATCCATTACGTCTGTGCTGATTGAACAAACGTTTGAAATGCATACATAGGGGTTCTTTGTCTCTATGTGATAACTCAATTACCTACACCTTATGGTGGGAAGAACTTACAATTTATCAAGCCAGATAATGACACATGGTGACAGCCTGACCCAGGGAGCTAGAAAGCTGTCCCCTGCCCATTTGATCCCTGTCCTCTCTCATTGTGATAGGCGCCAAACTTGAATCTAGCCCTTGTTCTGGACACTCTTTTTCTGTTTTTCTTTCTCTTTCCTTCTTCTACTTACCTCTTTCTCTTCCCCTGTTTCTCTATCTCCTTGCTTACTCTAAGATGTGTACATTTTTCTGAGTCTGTGGAAGAAAGTCCGATCTGGGTTCCAAAGAGTTTTTCCACTGGGCTGTGGATTTCCTAGGAAGCAAGGTTATATGGAGATAGTGTAGGAATTTTACCAGCAGGACTAATTAAGATATTTGGTGATAATATAAATTATGCCTTTAGTGGATTATCGTGGTGAAAAAAGCACTTCACTCACATGCCTTGATTTATCTTATCTGCAGCTGTTTAAGACAGATGCCTGTCAAAGTGTTCTGTCTATTTCCTTTACTCACCAAGGATGGTAGTGATCTTCTCCACCATAAACAGATACAGAAGACAGAGAGTGGGTATTGGCAGACTTAAATGTCACCTGTGATCTAGCCTTTTCTTTTACGTGATTTGTCCATAAAACTAGAGTTAGCAATCAGCGACGTTAGAGTTCTCTCTCCTCTCCTAGTGCCTGACTAATTAAATAGTCTTATGTGATTCCTTGTCCTTGGACCGTGAGGAATATGTTCTGAATTCTACATTCTGGATACTAGAGTGTTGGCTTATCCTCCTGCTCAGTACATTTTCTCTCTTCCTCTCCTCTCCCCCCTTCCAGCTTAAAGATGCCAGTCTTGTCTCTGCTTTTTGGGTGTTATGGGCTGAATTGTGCCCCTCCCCAATTCATATGTTGAAGCCCTAACCCCTAGTACTTCAGAATATGACTGTATTTGGAGGTGAGGCCTTTAAAGAGATGATTAGGTTAAAAAGAAGCTATTGGAGTGGGTCCTAATCCAGTCTGACTGGTGTCCTTGTGAGAAGAGGAGATTAGGACACAGAGAGACACCAGGGATGTGTGCACACAGAGCAAAGGCCATGTGAGGACACATCGAGAAGGTGGCCATCTGCAAGGCAAGGAGAGAGGCCTCAGGAGAAATCAAACCTTCGAAATCTTCATCTTAGACTTCCAGCCTCTACAACTGTGAGAAAATAAATTTCTGCTGTTTAAGCTACCCAGTCTATGGTATTTTGTTATCGCAGCTCTAAGAGACTAATATATTGGGTGAGGCTCTTCTACGAGAGAAGACTTGTTCCTGCCCTCAGCCCAGCCCCTAGTGCCCTGAGGGTCTGAAGCCAGTAGAGGATGAATATGGCCAGAGCAAAAGGGCTTCTAGAAAGTTATGTACCCCAGCCCCATTATTGCATTTCGCTGTGCTGGGTTGCCAGATTTAGGTATGCTGCAAATTGTTGCTTTTAAGCGTCCAAATGAGATTGGATAAGCATCCTTGGTGGGGTTGGGGGAGGTCCACATTACCGATCTCTAATCAAACAGAGCAGTTGGAGGAGAGCTCAACTTGATGGGAGGAGAAGAAACGAGAACCAGACTCAGTCTCCCAGTCCTAGAAGCAGGGATAACATTTAGCCTGCCCGCGGTCCATCCTGAATCACGCCAGCTGACCTCCCATTGCCCCACCACCTCTGCAACCGTGGAAGCCAATTTTTGCTTCTAAATGGGCTTCCAAGAGCAAGCCATTGGGGTGATAAGAATGGAGAAGGAAGAGGGTTTTAAAGGTTCCGCTCCCAGCTTAAAAGTTGAAGAACAGACATGGATATTATTATACATGATATTCTCTCTCTGTCTCTCTCTCTGAAGCATTGTACATTTTAGTTCCTGTTCAGTTCCTAGAGTTGCAAAACTGCCTTACTCAGGGCAAAAAAAAAGCATTGGGAAATTGCTTGATAGCCTCACTTCCCCAGTGGTTCAGTTGCTTCACATCAATGAGGCATTTTGGGATATAAAGGGCGGAAGGTGAGGGAATAGTGAAAAAGAAAGACAAAGACTTGATTATAAAAAATGAAGTCTTAGTAACTTTTTATAGTAAAATTGCATTGATCGGTGCCCCCACCTCCTAGTTCAGAACCTCAGATGTTTATTTAAAAGACTAGATATAGGAGACAGTCGAGTCCAAGATGACTCCAGTTTATAAAATTCGGGGCTGGCAAGGGTAAAACCTATCTTTTGGAGAAACATAAAACGTATTTCTCTATACATCAAGGACCATCTCAGCTTTCAGGAGGAAGTGTCCTTCGATGGTGTAAAATGCCGGACTGAGTAGAAGTTGAGG